TAATACAATAAAATTAGCGTTGTCACGCAAAAGTTGTTTAGGTACTTTTGAATAGCTTTGAGCCAGGTAGCAAACATCCACTAAATTATGTCGACCTCTGGAAAAGTAAGTTCTAGCGATTTTTTGGTTTTCTGAAATAATATCGTCGAAAATAAACACAGAGTTTGGTAAAGCTTTCTCGGGTTCAATAACTTGTTCATTTTCGTAGAACGTAAATAATTGTACTCCATCAATGTCTGATAAAATATCACTCAACATTTTATATTTCGGTTGATCCAATGTTTTAGAATATATGTAAACGTTATGAAATCTTATTCCATTTACATTGGTTAGTAAAGCGAAAATTAAATTGGTTTTTCCGCAGCCCGAAGGTCCGACAATAAGTGCTCGTATCGTATTGGGAAGAAGCGCTCCATGTCTATAGTACTGAATCGATGTAGGCGGGTCCACGTTTTCAACTGCAAGTTTTAGTTTTTGTTCAATTAATTTCAGTTTTATATATAAATATCTTTGTAGCAATGGGAATGTAATCAGTACACGATGTCACTCGTACGAAGAAACAACAAGAATAAGGGTGGTGGCCTTATCAACACGCTTATAAACAAATTACCACTCGAGATTCACGTGCCCGGTAAGTTTTGGTGATTATTTTTAATTCATTTAAATCATGATGTATCTGTGTAGGTTATCAATATTGTGGACCTGGTACAAATTTGAAAAAACGTTTGGCTCACGGAGATAAAGGAATCAACCCCTTGGACTCTGCGTGTAAAGATCACGATATTGCGTACGATCGTAGTAACTCTATCACAGATCGTAACGAGGCTGACTATATATTAGAGCAGCGAGCCTGGGATAGGTTCAAGGCAAAAGATTCTAGTCTAAAAGAAAAAGCAGTGGCTTGGGGCGTGACTACGGCCATGAAAGCAAAACGTAAGATCGGGGCTGGATGTGGGTTCAAAGCGGCCATAAAAGCAGTTAAAAACGCTATAAAGAAAAATATCGGTGAAAAAAAGACAAAAGTTCCTAGAATAATAACAATTCCGAAAAAAGGCGGTGTGTTGCCACTTATTCCGATTTTCGCTGGTTTATCGGCTTTGGGAGCTCTAACTGGAGGTGTTGCCAACGTCGTTAAGTTGGCTAGTGAATTTAAAAGAAACACACCATCTCATTTGGGCAGAGGGTTATATCTCGCTCCGTATAAGGGCAACTCGTACAAAATCGGTTCGGGTTTATATCTCGCCCCATATAAAAGAGGTGGAGGCAAAAAAGCGAAAAAAAACTAATATCTACGTTACCCAGAAGAGCACTGTACGATTACGAGCTTATAAAAATAGCACGTTTAATGAAAATACCTCATTTCATCGGCGTGTTTACTAGAGACAGGTTATCTGCACGCCCCAAACTAATAGAATCAGCGATTGTTAACTTGGACTCGGAAAGCGGTACAGGCACTCACTGGGTAGCGTATAAAAAAATCGGAAAACAAGTCGATTATTACGACAGTTTTGGAAATTTACAACCTCCATTGGAAGTACAAAAATATTTTAGCGGTTGTGACATTAATTTCAATTACAACAGAGATCAGAATTATAATACTACAAACTGCGGGCACTTGTGTTTAAAATTTTTATCATGTACACGTTGACGTTAAACGGGAACTCGAGTGAATTGTCATGCGATATTATTCCGCCGACAGAAGTGGAAAACACAGCCCAAATATGTCTTTTGAGCTTACAGACAAATAATTCTATACCAAACATCGAACCCGGTTGCAATACTATCAGTTTCCAAAATATGTTCGGTCAAAATGAGGACGTTATTATACCTACAGGCTCGTATGAGTTTGATAATTTAGAGTCTGTTATACAAAAAATATGCCGGAATATGTCGATTGGTTTGAATTAAAAGCAAACAATAGCACATTAAAGTGCACGCTCTCGTGTAGTCACGATGTGAACTTGGGCGTCAAGAATAGCATAGCGAAATTGTTGGGTTTTAGAAATGTTTTATACACTGCTGGTATCAATCACGAATCTGAAAGTACAGTCAAGATAATTAAAATAAATAGTATAAAAGTCGAGTGCAACTTGATTACTGGCTCATTTTGTGACGGAGCACCGAGCCAGATCATACACGAACTCTATCCAACTGTTTCAGCAGGCTATAAAATCGTCGAGGTACCTAGACATCCAGTTTATTATGGTCTCAACACGACTTCAATATCTAGAGTAAATATCGTATTAAAAGATCAGAACGATTGTCCAATAAATCTACGCGGCGAACCAATTACGATTCGCTTGCAAATAACGCGGGGGTATGGCGCTCAAATTTAACATCAATATAAAAAGAGCAACAATCAAAAAACCTATCAGTATTGTACCAGCCGTCAAGAAGTCAACATCCAAACCGAAAAAAACCGAAACTAAACTCACGAAAAATAATTTAAATTTTCTTCGTTCCTTGAAAATTTAATTATGGACGACTCTTATTATTTAGACGTAGCAGCCGGCTATGTCGACGAGTGTAAAATAACTCAAAAGAATTATCATTCGTTCACTCCATATTCAAACATGTCTTTTTCTAATAACGATGAAATTAGGATAAGTGATTTAAATATGGATTCTTACACTTTTCCGTGTGAGAGTTATCTGTACATAGAGGGAAAAGTAAATAAACCTACAGATGCTGTTGGAGACGTTAGTTTTTCGAATAATGGATTGGCGTTTTTATTCTCCGAAATGCGATACGAGATAAACGGCGTAGAAGTTCAGAAAATTAAATCAACAGGAATTTCTTCTTGTTTGAAAGGTTACTGTTCATATACTCCAAACGACTTGAACACACTGGATAATGCAGCTTGGGGGGTCGTCGTTGGGTAGTAACGATAATAATAAAAATTTCATGACCAACAATGTGTTTACCGGCTGCGTTCCACTGAAACATCTATTTGGATTTTTTGAAGATTACAAAAAAATATTACTTAATTGTAATCAACAATTGATTTTGAATCGTTCATCGATAGATTTTGACACATTACACGTTACTGATAACTCCGAGAAAAATAAAAAAATTACAGTCGAACTGACTAAAATATTGTGGAAGATGCCTATTATCAAAGTTAGTGATAAAGAAAAGTTAAGACTGTTAAAAATATTGGATTCTCGTAAAACGTTATCGTGTGCTTTCAGAACTTGGGATTTATGTGAATATCCAGTGTTACCTAAAAATACTTCACATTCGTGGACGGTAAAGTCTAGCAATTTACTCGAAAAACCTAGATTTGTATTAATTGGATTTCAAACAGATCGAAAAAATACTATAACACATGATGCAGGCCTATTCGACCACTGTAGATTGAAAAATCTTAAGGTATATTTAAATTCTGAAGCGTATCCGTATGAAGATTTCCGAGCAGACTTCCAAAACAAACAAACTTCGATACTGTATAAAGCTTACACAGATTTTCAAAAATCGTACTACGAAAGAGACTATTGCGAGCCGTTACTGTCAAAAAATACTTATCAAAACCATGCACCAATCGCCGTTGTCGATCTATCGCATCAAAACGACAATGTGAAGTCGTCAACCGTGGACCTGCGTATTGAATTTGAGACCGATATTGCCATTCCTGAAAAGACTGCAGCTTATTGTCTCATCTTACACGACCAAATTATAACTTATAATCCATTTAATGGTGATGTAAGAAAATTGTAAATAGCTTGTAAAATAAAAATACTTTTTTTAAATATCACGTTGTTTTTTTTTTATTATATATAAGTAATAAAATATCATATTACAATAAAATATTACATTAATGGTTCGCGTTTTTAAATAATTGACAAAAATATGAAAATTACATAATAAAATGTCATATTACAATAAAATATTACATTAATGGTTCGCGTTTTTAAATAATTGATAAAAATATGAAAATTACATAATAAAATGTCATATTACAATAAAATATTACATTATTAACGAAAAATTAATGTGCGGGCTGCTTTACGTGCTACAAATGCCCTCGTCCTCGGTCTGTTTACTTCAGACTAAAAAAAAAAATTTGTTTCTTTAGTATAAAATAATATGTAAAAATAAAATCGTATTACCTCAGTTTCGGCAGAAGAAGATAACTATCCCATTGCCAATTGTTTGACTGCCTTAATTTTCAAATCTGCTATTAAACAAATACCAGTGAAATTGAGTTGTGTTTTCAATTCTTGGACATCGATACGGGATAAATAATCTTCAACATTGCTTATTTTTGTATCTTTGGGTAACGGCATTTCCTTTCCATGATATCTTGAAATACCACAGGCCTGACGTAATGCACTAGGTCGTGTGTATATATTTTTCATCTGAATAACTTCTTCCACAGCATCATTTAATTGCAAGATCCTTGAAACCTTCTCTTTAGTTAATCGTACATGTTGATCCTGTTGCAAACACTTTATCGAGAAAACGTTGTCACCGTTGTATTTATCTATTGAAGCCAATTTAAACTCATCAAGTATTAAATGAGATGGAAGTGAAAAATTGATGTAGTTAAGAGCTATATTAATTAGAGATTTATAGAATTCAACACTCATTTTAACACACTGCGAGTTATTTGAGATGCATATAACACAATTAAATAAAAAATCAGGATCTAATAGTATATTTATAAAAATATTGCTATCAACAAAGAATGTAGTACAATCGATCAGATTATTAGCCATTTTTGTTAGATACGCTCACAACTGTCTCGAAATAAGTTAGTAATCGGGTACGCACACGACTCGTTTGACGGAACCCTCACGACTGTCTTGAAAAAAGTCTGTGTCACCCTTTTAAACAGTGCTACCCGATCGCTCGTTTAGAGTGGGGATTATCCCTACTCTATACTCGGGGGTGGGAGATATTTAGATTGGAGATGAGTGGTACCGCCCTTTTCATGTAAAAAACATATGATATAGAGAAAAAAGATTTTATTTGGTGTGTGGCGGTGGCGTTTCGCCTCTATGGACCCACTTACTACTACCAATAATCAGCATTCGGCCTCAAAACCAAGATTCATCGTCGGTTCTCATAAAAACTCGTCCTCTAAGTTGTCTTCAGTTCCCGTGCGGAAACATGCTGATATTTTTGTCTCGAGACTTGATCCATGCGTTACGTCTACCATGCTTGAATCTGAATTATTCAATAGTTACTCAGAAGTGACCATTAATAAAATGGTAACAAGACACCCATCATACTCCTCATTCCACGTCCGCTTGCATGCGGAGAAGCTTGTAGAGGGCCTCGAACCTGCATTCTGGCCTGATGGCTTAATGGTCAAACGCTTCTGGGGTCGTCTTACCCCTGAGATGATTCTAAATTCCACTCCAAAAAACTAATATCTTTATGTTCGTCTATCTCTACTCCTACTGTTGATGTACACGGAAATAACTTTAATAATAAGGATTATTGTCTATGTAGTGATTTATGTACTTGTAACCGCGTTCTCTTAGGTTATTACCAAAATTGTCGGGGTCTAAGAACCAAATTAAGTATTTTAAAATGTAATGTTGCTGTTTTTGACTATATTTTTATTTGTTTCACCGAAACATGGCTCTGTAATAGCTTCTATGACAATGAACTAGGTCTAATTAACTATATTGTATATAGATGTGATAGATCTAGCTTAACTAGTAGTTTTTCAAGAGGTGGTGGTGCTCTCATCGCCATCCGCAATGATGTCGTATCTAATTTAATTTGTAATCCTGCGATTAATGTCGAACATGTTTTTGTTAAATTTAGTTATAATCATACCAACTATGTTGTGTGCTCTGTTTACTTTCCTCCTAATTGCCTGATTTCGGCTTACGAGGCTTTTATGTCCACTGTGCAATCCGTTCTTCTCCTTCACCCAGATTGTGTTTTCATATTTTGCGGTGACTTAAATTTGCCAGATGTAAAATGGTCCAATGACGAATTTGGTTTATTATACAACTCTATTTCGAATCCTAGAATACAATGTATCCCAGAAGCATTTTCTTTTTTTAACTTTTTCCAGCTCAGTGACATTCCTAACTCTTTTGGTGGTATCTTGGACCTAGTGCTTACCAACGACAAAATAATCTATGTTTTAAAAGCTGAAAACTCTGCGGTGCCTTGCGATTCTTACCACCCGGCTCTTGATATTATGGTAAAATTGGATAATGTTTCCCCTTTATTAGATCGTTCCCATAATTATTTCGACTTCCGCCATGCCCCCCTATACAGAAATTTGTAAATTTCTAGATTCATTTTTTTTTTTTTTTTTTTTTTTTTTTATTTAAATAGTTTTTCTTTAAATGTACAATTTATAGTATAAATAAAGAAAATATATCTACTCCTTTAAGCCTAAGCTTGTAATGGAGTAGAGAGTTAACAATAGTTATAGAATAATAATAGTAGTAATAAAGAAATAATAATATAAAGTAATTTAAAAAGCAACATTAGATAAGATAAAATTAACAAAAATTAAAAATTTTGGATAGGTACATCCTTTCTCAAAAGAAACAAAATTTTTTAATAAGTATATAAAAATAAAATAAGAATAAGAATACAGAGTTAGTCGACAAACTATTTTGATCATAATAGACAGACCAGTTCACAATTACAATACAATTCAATAATATATAGGATACACAAATGACATCATAATATATGAAATATAAGAGAGAAACGTGGCAAGATTCAAATTTCGTTATTTAAAATTAGTACTTAATCTTATACATTTAATAAACAAATCAGGAAAAAAATAAAAATAAAAATCATATTCACTGAAATCACTGAAATTTGAACTCTTATTCAAGGAGTAATTAATTCTGAGAATAGCCATTTATAGACGACTTTTTTCTCATTAACTAGACCTCCATGAATATTTTTTTTGTGTATAGTCGGCATCTGATTAAAATATGTAGGACCTAAATAATCAATAAAAGATTGACCAAAAGATTTTTTCGAATATGTTACTGGCAGATTATAGGCTATATGATTTCTTAATTGTCTGTTATTATTTTTGAGATTAGTAAATTTTTTTTTTGTAAATAAAATTGCATACTTCTTGTATAGGTACCTTATTGGAAGAACGCCTAATTTTATGTAATTCACTTTTGTAGAGCCTACTAGAGATTTTCTATTTAGTATTATTCTTAATATATTATTTTGATTGGTTTGAAGAATTTTTAAAACATTTTCTTTTGCACCTCCCCATACCAAAATGCCATATTGACAGATGGATTGATAGAATGCAAAATAAATTGTACGTAAAGTTTCTACTGGTAAGATCTCTTTAAGTAAAATGAATTTGTGCAGTGAGTATCGCAGTTTCCCTACTAAATTATGAATATGTAAGTTCCACCTCAAATTATTGTCGAAAATAATACCCAGATAGCGAATTTTTGAAACTTGATTAATTTGCTTACAGTTTTGCATATTGCATATCAATTGATTTTGGCAATTGTGAATTATTAGAGGAAAGTTGTCATCGGTAATCTTATTTATTGAAAACTTCATGTACGTAGTTTTGTCTGAGTTTATAGTTAAGCCTAGTTCACTTATGCATTCATATGTTAATTGTAGACCTTTCGTTGCTTTGAGGTACACCCCTTCCCAGCATTTATCCGAGAATAACAGACAGGTATCATCTGCGTAGGTCACTATTTTGCCATCAATGTTTAAATCACAAACTGCATTAATGTATAGTATGAACAAAATGGGACCTAGAACACTATCCAGTGGGACACCATATTCGATATAGTTTGTGTTGCTTATTGCATCATTTATTTTCACCATTTTTTGTCTGTTAGAAAGGTAGCTCTTAAACCAGAGGAGACTTTTATTATTAATTCCAAAATTTGGTAGAATTCTTAATAAGATATCATGTTGAATAGTATCGAAGGCCTTTGCTAAGTCAATGAAAATGGCAATTGTTTTTAAACCTTTATCTAGAGAGTCATACATAAATTGAGTGGCATTATATAAGGCATTTTCAGTGCTTAGTCCTGGTCGAAAACCGTATTGGCTTTTAGATAATAAATTGTTTTTCTCAAGGTAAGATAACAGCCTTGTTTTAATTATTTTCTCAAATATTTTGGAGAAATTTGTTAACATAGATATAGGTCTGTAGTTACTTATAGTTTTACGGTCGCAGCTCTTTAATAGAGGCTTAATAATTGCAAATTTAAACTTATCAGGGAAAATACTATTTTCTAGACTCAAATTGAAAATATAGACTAGTGGAGTAATAATTAATTCAGAAATACTTTTAAAAATTTTAACTGTTATATTATCATAACCGGCAGAAGTGTCATCTTTTAAGTTTTGAATAATTATTCTTAATTCTGATACATCAACTTTTTCTAGAAAAATCTTATCAAAGGAATATAATATATTATCGTTGGATTTATTTAATACCAGATTGTGAGTTTTATTGAAGTTTTTTGCTAAATTTTTACCAACGTCTGTAAAATAGTTATTAAACACATTTGACACTTCTTTAGGATTATCATCTATATTCAATATTTTGTCGTTCACTATAACAGTTTTGATTTTATCATTATTTTTAGGATTGCTACCCGTGATCTCATTGATTAGTTTCCAGGTTAATTTTGGGTTATACGACACTTTGCTAAATTTGTCTTCATAAAATTTAATTTTGGCGACCCTCAAAAGTTTAGTGAATGTATTTTTATATTTTTTATAGTATGACGCAAGACTTACATTATTTGGGTTTTTTTTGCACTTCATTGAAATATATTGTTTGTGACGAACTGAGCATAACAGACCCTTGGTCATCCATTCTTTCAATCTTTTATTTTTAGAGTTTATGTTTTTTGTTGTTAAGGATTTTTTTATGGCATTCATAATTGTATTTTGGAAATTTGTTGTGCATACATCTACAGAGTTAGATTCATATATCTTAGTCCATTTTTCATTATACAACATTTGTTTAAGTTTATCATAGTTTATGACATTGATAGTATTGATAATGTTTTTAATTTTAACAGGTATAGGAATTGTAACAACAATTGAACAATGGTCAGTTATATCAGTTAGTAGAACACCCGCGTTAATATTCCCGAGTGAATTATTATTGTCTTTAATGAACACGTGATCTAAACACGAATGTTGTTGACCTAGTGGTAATCTTGTAAATACATTTATAAAAGAATAGAAACCAGTTTCTGATAAAAGGTCTAGGTAATCATAATTATTAACTGTTTGTGCACCAATTATGTTTATATTCATGTCAAGGTAATTATACCAGAATTCAAATTTAAATTATTGAAAACATATTTTAATGAATTAATGAAACCTATAGAGTCAGATGAGGGCGATCTGTATATACATACAATAGTTATAGGCAAATTGTTGATTATCAGCGATAGTTTAACAATATTATATTCTAAAAAGTCATAGTCATAGAAATCCGCATTTAGATGATTTTTCACAAAAATTATTATACCATCATTTTGGTTTCTTTTTGTACTAGAGAATAATATACTGTAACCAGGTATCATATAGTGACAAAACAGTGAGTTATGCCACGTCTCAGTTAAAACTATAATATCAATTTTCTTATTTTTTACATCATTTTCTAAAAATAAAAGCAGCTCGTCAAAATGCGCATTTACACTTCTTATGTTAAAACATATAATATTTAATAGAGATTCATTATTGTTATTTAAATATGAATTATATTCAGAGAACGACTCAAAATAATTAGTTCTATATTTAATACTTTCAATCACATTATTAAATATATCCATGATAATTAAATTAAAAACATATATACAAGATCGAAGTAGAAATTAAAGGAGATCTAATTTAAGTTGCTTAAGGAGCTTTCGTTTTCGATTAGAATTGCTTTTTGGTCTTCATTTTTTTTTATAAATATTTTCGAGTCCTTAAACCAAACAAATTTATATCCGGTTTCTATAAAAGTCTTAGTTTTAAAGAGCAGGTTTCTATTAAAAAAAGTAAGATAATTATTTACATAAATTGGTTCCATGCCCCATTTTTCGTTAAACATAATTCCTTTCGGTTTAGTCTTTCTCGAGTTGCTTATGGTGTTGCTACTGCATTGACGAGTGCTCATCTCTGCTACAAGTTTCCTGGGTTTATTTTTGATTTTTGAAGGTGCACGAAATGCCCTATTGACCGTTGTCTCCACTCCCAATTTTGCTATGATTGTTTTTACTGTTTCTACACTGTTTTCATCCTGAGTTTCCGGTACACCAATAATTTCAATGAAATTGTCAAGAGCCTTTTGTTCCAACGTATTGACACGGTTCACCAATAATATAATTTCATTGTTGAATATAATATTTTGTTTTTTTAATACTCGATTTTCTTCTCTCATTTCTTT